CTCTAGCGAATGATGATGGATACCACCCCCCTCTCTAGCTGGTGATGATAGACCGCCCCCCGTTCTTCTGTAACAGACGCACGAGCCTACTGCAAGTACTTTTGTGCAACCACCACAAAAAACTATTCCACCTCCCGATCTAGTAGGTGACGGGCGCGATTGGAATATGTACTAGGCGGAGACAGTTGGGGTCAGGGCAAGAGGTCCACATTGTCGCGGGCGGCGGCGGCTTCGGATTGCGTGTTACGGCGGCCCTCGGACGTTCGGTCTCCGATAACTGAAGGGAGCTGCAGTGGTCGGAGGCCCTTGCCTCCGTGGCGGCGGTGGCGGTGTTCATGGTTCCGTGTGTAGGCCGCTCGCCGCGGATATCGCGGCCTCCGCCTTGAGCAGACCCCTTTTGCAGCTTTTGTGGACTGCAGCGGCCACCGCGGTGGCATCTACGATGGCCGGCTGCTGCTGTACGTGGGGGCGTGAATTGCCGTTCATCCCGGTACAGCAGTGGGTTAACCGGGTACAGCAGGCGGCCATCGGTGGTGCCAGTCGCTGTGCTCCCGGGCTGCAGTCCACACAAGCCGCAAGGGACCTAGCAGCTCAAGGAGGAGGTCGACATCCGCGCCGACTGCGCCGCAGGAACCATGAACACCAACCGCCGCCACGGGGGGGGGCCTAATGGAGGCCTGCGACCGCTGCAACTCCCTTCGACTTCAACTATCGGAGGCAGCCGAAGGTGTCGTTCAGGGAGCCGCCGCGACTCCGCCGCCAAAAGGACTGAGGTGTAACACAAAACAAAGGGCGACGCGGCTTTCGACAGCAGTCGTGGGAATGCCGATGTTACAACGTGGAAATATGAGCACTGTTGTCTCTTCTTCGCATACAGCAGTAGGTCCTCTCATGTAGCTGCTGCTCGCGTTGGAGACAGCAACCATGGAGGCGCACTTTGAAATGTTAATGTTCGTCTCCCGAGCCTGGGGATTCGAGATTGGTGTGAGTTGGGTTGAAAGCCAGGGGCGAACAAATGGACGACGGACCAGCCGGAAGTAGAAGAAAACGAACGGCGCTTTCGTTTCCTCTCGGATGTTCAACCCTGCTGCCATGCCTTGGTTTTGTGGGAGCTGCAAACCTATATACACCGGTTACATCGGGAGCATTTAGTCTGGATCTTGATGCTAATTGGTATGGACATGGACACAAGTAGTGCCGCATGATGAAGCCGACATGCCACACCCACGCACACCATCACACAAAACATGCCACACAGTCATCGTTGCTACGGCCTGCGCCACACCTCTGCAATGGCAGCTCCAACGCCGGCCTTGGCCTCCATCAGTAGTCTCCGTTCCGACTTCGACGCCCCTCGGCTCCCTCCTCTCGACTTCGCAGACCGACCAACAGACGACGCCGTCCGCGACAGCTTGGGCGGCCTGCCGCTGCTGCCCACCATGGACTGCCTCGGCAGCTCGCTCAGAGTGTCCATGTCCGCAGGCTCCGCCCATGACATTGGTCAGGCGACAATGCGTTGTTTAACACGTGCGTGTACTTCCTTGCTGCACACAGCGAAGCTCTCGCGATCGATGAAAGTTTCTCGGTGAAGAGACGCCGCCCGTTGGAACGGGTGTGGAGATTCAATTTCAGACAAACTGCCTCTCGGCGCACACAGCAGCAGTAATCACGCCACTAGGCAGGGTCGTAGTTGCGCTTCAGGCACTGGGATAGCTGGCCAAAAGGAAGGAGATCTCCGGTGCTGAGCAGCAGAGTCACGGCTACGCCGAGCAAGATCTCCGTGGGCTTTTGCGGCAGCGTGTTGTTGCCCTGGCCTCGCAAGTCAAACTGTCACAACAATCAAGGGGCATCACGGTTGCAAACTCTCTCCACAAGGATTTCCCACCCCATGCCCACATTCTCTTCTCGTCTTCAGTACCCCGGCAAGCTTGCGGCGCCCGGAAATCTGCCCTCGAGGGCAGGAGGGGACCGGCCTGCCCTCAAAACGCCTCCGGAACTAGCCTT